CACAGGTCCTCTGATAAAGGAGAAATTAAGTTATTTCTTTTGGTTGTTTTTAGTTCACTAAACTGTCTTTCAAGATCCTTTTTTAGAGTGAAGTCTTCCCTGTTAACTGAGGCAGGGAATTCTTAATGCAGTTGGAATGATAAGTTCTAGAAGCAAAATCTTTGTGTAGAAACAAAATCTTTATGTAGTCAGTGGACCCATTCCGTGTTTTCTTACCTCTTCAGGGAAATGAGAGGAAAAAAAATAGAAGTGGATATACTGATTTGAATGTATATTTGCTGGTAATTTGTTGAATTGGCCTTTGTCTAAAAAGATGGGGAAATGTTGGTGTTCTTTAGAAGCTTTCCTCTGTCATCATCAGATTAAGGTGTTATATTGAGGCATCTTAAAAAGGGCTTAACGAAGTCAGCATTACCGGATCCAGGTGCCTGTCCTGCAATTCCCATCGCTCAGCCCTGTGTTACTGGTGCAGATAACCTCTCTTCCCTCCCTTTTGCCTGTGACTTGTAAACCGTTGGGTTATGAAGGTGGCAGTAGCCAACAGTGCTGTTCTTGAGGTTCTGTCTGAATGTGAGAGTGATAATTTATTTACCGAAAAGCGGAGTGAGCGTACAGGCTTTCCCTCTTTTTTTTTTTAATTGATTAATACAGATGTATTGGAGGATGGATTTTTAATGTGTATTGCATGTTTAAACAAGTGTTATTACAGTAGCAGGACTTGGAATTTGGGAGTCTTTTCTCTTGTTAGACTGGCTGCTGATACTGCTCTGGAATTTCTTCAAGCCACGTGTAGTGAAAAACACAGATTTGTGGTTGTTAGAACATCCACGGGGATGCTGAGTGGGAGTGATGCCTTCTGTGGCCTTGCAGAGTGGGCAGACCTGTGGGTTTGGGTTTGTCACTGCTTGAGAATAGTTGACCAAATTGAAATTAAAAGCTTGTGACAGTTTTGTGATTTTTCTAGGATAGGATACTTTTGTGCTTCAGTTGCTTCTGAAATTTAGGTCCAGGATGCATTCAAGTGCCTAATGTGTTTTGGGGAAACTGGAACGCTTTACCTGCAAACTAATGGGGGAGGGAAAACCCAAGTAAATGTTTTCTGGGCTGAATATTCTTTCTCAAGATATGAAGTGTCAGCTTTATATTCCACTTTTAGAGAAGTGACTTTTGTTTCACTGGAGTGCTTACATTATTACCGCTTGCAAGCTTAAAACAGTCTTGACCGAGGAGGCAGATAACGAAATTGTGCTGGCTCAGGTGTGGTGAGCACGTGCTGCGTGGATGATGGTGTGTGTGCCCATGTTGAAGGAGGTAATAGCAAGGTGCCACATCAGCTCAGCCCGCCGAAGGGGATCTTGTTCTCCATCCCTGTTCTGCATGTCTTGACAGTAGTTCTCACATTCTTTTTTTTTTTTGTTATCCTTCAGGGTCACTCTTTGATGGGTTCAGTTTCTTCTTGATTCAGAAGCTGAGTGTTTACAGACTTGGGTGACTTTCTGTGGCAGAGGTGTGGGGTGGATGTGCTGTAGACCGTGTAGCTGAGCACGGGAGAAGGGAGCAGGACAGTAGCAGCCCAGGTTGTGTTCAGGTTGTGCTTTTTCCTTTGTAGTCTGTAAACATGGATTTAATAAGCACTGTGAATCCTGGGATAATGAGGACCTGCCGTGTATGCTATGGAACCGTTTAAATCAACCTGGGGTTTGTATTGGCAAAACTTACTTCATCTGTGAAGGGGGAAACTCTTGATTTGTGTTTCTAACTTTATTTATAGTCAGTCTTAAAAACCTACACATTTTCACAGTGGAGATTGCTTATCACAGAAGTTGTTAACCTAAGCAAAGCCAGAGGACTTTTTGAAAAAGCAACAATATATATTTTTATTACTAACACTGTTTTGCCTTTCTGTCTGATCGTTCAGAAATTCTTGCCCCAAATATTTCAAAGGTATATGATGTTCTTTCTAAAGGAGATGTGGCAGAAGGGCAGAATGATGGGAATTGTCTGTTAGGGAAAGTACAATAGTTTTCAGTTTCCAGCTGGAACTTCCAGTTTGAGAAGTGTGATTAATGTACTGTGTTTGGAGGAATAAGATTAAGTTGATCATGGATGTTAAGATCCTTTAAAACAAGATAACCAGCTTGCTGCTTCAACTTACGTTCTGTCAGTATCTCATCTGCAATTGAATAGTTAACTTGAGAACAAAATGAACAACAAAAAAAATCACACTGAATTAGGAAAAGAAACAGATATTTGAAAACTTCCAAAGTTGCCTTATGTTGTAGTAAATGTTTTTGCAGGCAGTTAGAGCGTTTGCTTACAAGTACCAGCAGGCTTGCTAGATTTAGAAAGTGCAGTTGTGAGTTAATTTTGATGTTCTTTGATTTTTCAGCTTCGTTTAGGCATTTAAGTTTAACCTGCATTAAGATGCAGGTCTTCAAGAGCAGGTTCATGTAAAATAAGTTTGAAACTTAGTCTGTTTTTCGTGAAAAGTAATTTGGAACAAACGGGGAGAGGAAAAAATGGAGATACTAAATACTAAGAAGAAACCAAGGAAATACTAAACAGTAAGAAGAAACCAAGCATTTTATAGCAAATCTAGCGGGTCTGCAATTTTAGTGTTGCAAGTGTACTGAACTTTTATACCTCTCAAATTTGAAATTATTTTAAAATTGCAGTTCTGTTACAGTTTTTTTCCTGTAAGAGAGGTAATAATACAGGTAATAAGATAACATCTACTAATGCCAAAAGAAGCATGATTCTTGCATAGACTCTCTTAGTTTTCATTATTATTTGTGTCAAAAATGCTCTTTTATGTTAAACCAGAGCTGTAGACTACGCGCTGTGCAGCCTTGCCACTGGGTGGGGTATGACTAATGTTGTAAAATGTCGTACCTTTAGTGAGCCAGAACGCCTCCTGAGAAGAGAGGATCCCGGTTCTGGTTTTGGAATGCTTTAGTGATATGGGCTCTGTGGCTCAAACATAATTGTAAAGAGGGTTTTGCACGCAGGGCCTTGAAACTGCGTGCACTATGAACACAGTCCTTTAGACAATTCTTTCCTTAGTAGGTTACTGGATGAATTATTCAAATAGGATGCACTTTTTGCATGTTCTAGAGGCAGTTTGTTTGCATAGTTAAATAATAGAGTTGAACAAGAAGTGATTAGCTGACTTTCCCTTTTCCTTTAGGCGTATCACTTAAAAATTGCATGATGTGTGATGAGTTGGAGATTCTGAACAGGGAGATTGAAAGGTTATTACAGAACAGCAGCGTGGAAGAAGACACTTTAAACTCAGACTGTCTTCAGCCATCAGTGACTGACTCCCTGGATGTAATCACTGATTCAGACAATGGAGCAAAATACATATTAGAGCAGGTATTCAATACCATGAGATATAGCATTAGGGTCTTTAAAATCAGTTTATTCTACTGTCTTTTCTGGTTTATTTTTTTCCATCTTTTTTTGGATTAGAAACAGTTGGAGAGGGAAAGAATGTAGATAATGTATGTAATTCTCTATAGAGAAGGTAGAGGGGAAGGAAATACTGATGTGGATCTAGGTATATACTCATGTTTTTTTTTTCCCTAATTCTGCTTTACTACAGTCATGCAAAATTTGCCATTTATTGTTCAAGAAATAATAAAGTGGTGCACTGATGAAAATCACATTTGGGGAGAGGTTTGTCTTTTCCCCTCTCCTGATTTTTGGGACAGTGACATGGCATTGGAGAACACCTAGAGTTGAAAGTTGCTTAGGAAGTAAAATATGTTTCTACACAGCAAAGATACTTCAAGAGTTGGGGGCTTGAGAGATTTGGGAAAAAAAAAAGTCTTTAAAAAGAAAAGTCAGACTGCATTTTGACATGTCTATGAAGGATTATGTAATCTGTTCTGAAATTTGTGTCTCTCCCCACCTGGCATGTTTGTTAAAAATAATTTTTTACTGCTTCGAAACAATTATTAATGTTTTAGTTATTTCCTACACCTACTGTGGCAGTTCCCCTGCATCTGTAATTGCAGAATGCTGACACGCAGAGTCTCTGTCCCGTATTGGCCTTTTGTCTGCTCTAATTTATTTCATAGGCCAGTGCAAAAGTGCCTTTTCTTGTCAAATTCTTTTCCAGTGTTCCTCTAGTTTGATAGACTACTTTGGGTTAAACACAGGCATTTTCTGTAGATTTTTCAAGCTCGGGTGAGCTCAAAGCAAGCAGTCGATGTTGCTGTTTGATTGCCATTCTGCATGTGAATTGGGACCCCTGGACTAAACAGTTGTTCTTGTTCAGATGCTTTAAATGAATGCCTTGTGATTCTGAAATATTTTCCAAGGGTTATTTTTTGGTAAAATATGTTGTTCTTGATAGAATGTACTGTCCTTGAAATAAAGCTTCTGAAATTTTCTATATTGTAAATCTGATTAGTGAAAGGGACAGTGATAAGGAATATTCCTTAATTCTGAAGCTCAACTATAAATTTTTATTATCCCACCTTGCAAAACCGCTGCGTAGCCACTTGGATTTAAATCCTGCAGATGTCTTCTGTGATGAAATTTAGTACAAACTGATAAATCTTCCCAGCCGTAACCTTGGGCATGCTGGTGGAGTTTGAAGCTTTCTGCGTTTGCGTTGCACAATATATGTTTATTAAATTTCAGTCTCAGAGTGCTTTTAAATACTGTACATGGAGCAGGCTTGTTTACAGTTTGCTGCTTTTCTGGAAGTCTCAGTGGGATCTAAATGAATTGATGAGAGTATTTTGTATTTATTTCAAAGGTCTCAGCTGTTGGTGAGTGGTGGAGGTGTCGTTGCTTTACTTTGACTTTTCTTTCCAGTTTCAGTCTTTCTGAAAGTAGAAAACTGTCAAGAAGGCAAAATAACAGAATTTGATTTATAATGTAATAGAGGCAAAACAGTTCCAAACAATAGTAAGATAAGTTCATAAATATATGGATGCCTTATTTTGTATCTTTTTTTTGTTATTTATTTCCAGGAGCCAGCAGGAAAAGGATTGATAGTATTCAGTCCTGCTGACAACTCAGAGACTCAGTCTGGCACTTGTGAACCGGGAAATTCAGCATGTGCTGGAAGGATAATGCTGAATGACTCCGATCCTTTGCTGCCCTCCCCTGGCTCTCCTTTTCATTCAGCTCCACCAGGAGAAACCGTTCGAACCTCTAATGCTGTGTCAGGTAAAGCACGTAGAGGACATTGAAGAGGCTTCTTACTTCTTTACATCTTATTTGGAATTTAAATCTCAGAGTTTGAGTTGCCACTGCCTGTAGCTTTTAACATTTCGTTGCCTTCCAGGGTAAACAAAGATGTAAACTGTAACTGTTCTGACTTGTTCCCTTGCTTTCATCGCAGCCTTTTTCTGGTGCAAATATAATTTTAGTGTTGTTTTAAAATTTTACTTAGTGGTTTTTTTTCAGGGGAACTTAATGGAATTTTATATTGGATTAAAGCAGTTTCAGCTTCTTTTTACCTGTTTAGTACAGGCTTAAAATTAGCTTTTTATTCTGACTGTAATGCTAAAAGCAATCAATTACTAATTAAATTGATGTTTTGGAGTCTGCTTTTACAGCTACGTTTCTAGTATCTCACTCAAATGACTCATAAGTTACAACTTAAGTGTTAATTTTTGTAACATATCTGCATGGATGTTTGTTTCCATAGCATTGACAGTTGAGCTTCTGGTTATTACATTGTTAAATGTGATACTGGAAAGCAGAGGAGTTGCACTATAGAGAGGTGGTGTGTGATGTGAGAGAACAATAATGCAGCTGGTGCAGTTTGTAAAGTAAGGAGGGTTTATCACCAGTGTACACTGCAAGAGTTTGAAAAGCTTACTGCAGGATGCCTCTGACAACTTGTAGTGTGGTATGTGCAGCTGTTAGAAATCGCTGTGATTCTCTTCAAGTGCTGTTATTTAGGAATTCTGTTAATGTTCCCTTTTGGCTTACCTGTGCACTTCTCAAGTCAGGAATACGCGTGTAACTACTCCAGAAAACATGTTTGAGGGGGAGTTAGGGGATTGCTTGTTGTTTTTTAAACACTGTTTCTTTTTACCCCATTCATTGAGGTATACTTTCTTCTGGATATTGTAGTTTCACATGAGCCATGTAATTGCAATGACTAAAACATAGATTCTGCATTCATTTAGGAGAGCATTTACATGGCATGCAACTCATTTAAAACATTGTACCGTGATCTGATACTTAACACTTGTTCAAACCAGGTTATTCCTAAATTGCTCAAAATGCAGTCTATAATTTTATATTTGTTTCTGTCATTTGCTTCTGTCTTCTCAAATAAGACAGTCTCCCAGTATGCTGGAAAAGACTTCTGAGAAAAAAAGAGATCCTGGTTGTCAGCACAGCTATTTTATTTATTTATTTTTTTTAAATTCTCCCCCCTGTGGTTCCATCTGTGATAGTTGGAGGTTCTTTGCTGAATCTTTTTTTTTTGGTCATTCTGGTAGCTCATATAAGGTGAAAACCTTTTTGTAAATAACCATGTCAAGGAGCAGCCTTTCTCAAGTTTCATTCAACACAGATTGATTTTATTTTTTATTTTTTTTTCCCCCTCAGAGCAATGTTTGGGAAGATTTTTTGTTCTTCCCTGAATAATTTCTTCTGTCTGATAAGCCTTGTTAGAGAAATAATGAAGGGAATATGTGTTGCTTTATCCTGAATACCCACCAGTGTTTCTGCAACAACTTAAAAATAGCAGCTAAACTGTTTAATAGAAAAGATACAGACCTAGTTTATTTTAATAAGGAAGACTGGGATATTTCTCTGTCTTTACGTTTTGTTTAAAATCCCAAACCTCATTATTCTTTGACTGACCCTGTATTATCTAAACAGCAGTAGCTCTGAATTTCTTTAAAATAGCTGTTTCTACCTTGTTTCTTATCCTCCTGCAGGTAATCAGCAGTCCTTTCTACCAGGAAATGTTATTGATATCAAATACCATCCGCACTTTTAAAAAAGCAACTGTGTTTGTACTGTCTGTTTGGATGACTCCTCATTCTGCTCCGTGGTCTTTCACACTGGTGCACGTGTGGCTCCTGTCTTCACTTAAGGAGGGGAACTGCTATAGATTTTTCCCCAGGCAAACTCCAGGGAATAGGTTCATATACAACGAAAGGATTTTTTTGAGAAATATCAGAAAATACCAGAAATCCTAAGGCGATTTAATAAAACATGTCAGTACAGTGTCCAAACCCGTATATTTACCTTAATACTTTGTCTGTGAAGGAATTCAGTCAACTTCGTGTTGATATTCAGTGACTACTAGTGACTTGAAATTCAACTTAAGTATTTGTTACAATAGCATAATGAGATTTCTTCAGAATATTTCATAATTATTTAGGCTGAATGTTTTTGAATCTGAGTTTTGAACCTTATGTTTCTTTTCAGTGTTTCAGGGTGGGGACAGTGGTGTCCATGCTATGGAACAAACTGTAAGTTCACAGCCAGTGCCATTGGAATCCGAATCTAATACTGACAACATGGAAAATAGTTCTCCTGGTAAGATTTCTTCCTTGTAAATTGAGCAGAAAACATGCTTGTTTGTCCATTGTGTAGATGTGTGTGTATATACATATATTTTGAAATAATGAAAGAGTTTGTAACAGCTGGATTATGTTGGCGCAGTGTTCAGTGATGTCCATAATTGCTATTGCTGTTGTGTTACATTCACAAGAAGGCATTTCGTCTGTTTTCAGGGTCACAAAATGAGGTGGAGAGGTATATATATTATCACAAAGAAAATGAAACTATGTTGAAAGAAAACTTTAAAGAAAAACCATCTTCCTTCACTAGCAGTTTAATAACTATTTCTTTGTTTTTAGCATCAGTTTTGGATGAGAAAGATGAGCAAAGCAATGAGGAGGAACAAAAAACTATCAAACCTACGAGTAAGGAGTTCCGGAAAACCTGGGGGTTTCGAAGGACTACGATTGCTAAACGAGAAGGTGTAGGAGATGCTGATGTGGACTCTAGTGAACAACATCCACAACAGCAGCAACAAAGCTTAAACCTCAGGCGCAGCGGACGGCAACCAAAGCGAACGGAAAGAGGGGAAGAATTTCTGACGACAGTAAGACGCAGAGGAAGGAGGAGTGTTCCTAGTGCTCTGGAAGATTCAGGTGAGCCAGCGTCCTGTCCAGCTACAGATGCTGAAACTGCTTCAGAAGATAGCCTTGAGAGCACTCCAGATATAAAACCTGTGACTCGGAGGATTAGCACTAGGAGCAGCAAGGATCAGAAAGGCTCTAAAAGGAGACGCACAAAAGAGGAGGAAGAAGAAGAAGAAGAGGAGGAGGAGGAGGAGGAGGATACTTCTGATAGTGATAGTGATGGGTTGACACTGAAGGAACTGCAGAATCGACTAAGAAAGAAACGTGTTGAACAGAAACCTGCACAGCTGACACTGAAGGATATACAGAACCGCCTGAGGAAAAGAAATCCAGAGCAAGGTCCTACAGAAACAGACGATGCCCAGTCTGAAAAACAAGTTGAGTCTGAGTTGCCTGTCGAACAAGAGCCTGAGACTGCAGACAGCACTGAGATTGCGAGTCAAGTGGTTGTGTCTGAGGAAAACGCTGAAGATCTTCAGGCTCAGAAGGAGGTCAAGCCTGCCCTTGGCACAAAAGGGGTCGCAGATGAAGAGTCTGAAGAAGTGCCCAAAAGCAAACCTGAGTCTGAGATTTATGACCCAAACGCGCTCTATTGTATTTGTCGGCAGCCTCATAACAACAGGTAGGCAAAGGTTACAACTGAAAATGCAGTGCAAGCAGTTGGTATTCTTCTGTGATGAAAAATGAAACCAAATTTACTTTTTCAGTGTATGTAAATGAGCTTTTGGGTTTGTTTGAAGTTGGGGGGGAGTTGATCTGAAGTTTGTTTGAAGTTGGGGAGAGGCTGTTCAGGAGGGCCTGTTGTGATAGGACAAGGGGTAATGGTTTTAAAATAGAGGGAGGTAGATTCAGATTGGATATTAGGAAAAAATTTTTTACCATGAGAGTTGTAGAACACTGGAACAGGTTGCCCAGAGAGGTGGTGGATGCTCCATCCCTGGAGACGTTCAAGGCCAGGTTGGATGAGGCCCTGAGCAACCTGATCTAGTTGGAGATATCCCTGTTCCTTGCAGGGGGGTTGGACTAGATGACCTTTGAAGGTCCCTTCCAGCCCTAACCATTCTATGATTCTATGATAACAAATATTTAAAAGAGGGAATAAACAAATACAGAAATGAACAAGTGAGGCAGAACTGTATACTGGTGCTTTAGCAGGGTACTCAAGATCTGCTTGAAGCATCTGTTGAGTGTTAATTAATTGTCTTTTTATTTCACGGTGTTTTAGTGTTCCTTGATTGTTTGATTTTTTTTTTTTGTTTTTTTCAGGTTTATGATTTGTTGCGATAGATGTGAGGAATGGTTCCATGGTGACTGCGTGGGTATTTCTGAGGCTCGAGGGCGATTGTTGGAAAGGAATGGTGAGGACTATATCTGTCCAAACTGCACCATTCTACAGGGACAGGATGAGCCTGGTTCAGAAATAGACCAGCAGGAAGCTAAAGCAGGACAAGCAAATGTGGATGGCACAGAATTCACAAGCATAGGAACAATTGAACAAAAATCTGTTGAGGACCAAGGAATCAAGGGTAGGATTGAAAAAGCTGCAAATCCAAGTGGGAAGAAAAAACTAAAGATATTTCAACCTGTAAGTATTTTAATTTTCTTATTTTTTTGTGGTTTACTGAGTACCTTGAGATAATGGCTTTCTTGTACAGCTGTAAGTCTGATTTGTTTTTTTAAAGCTAAGTATGAAACTGAACAACCTGCTAAATATTACTGTTTAATAAAAATATTAGAATTCTGGACTGGTTTATACTAGCTTTGAAATAATCTCAAACGATTTTGGATGTTTTTCAGTGATAGTGAAACTTTTTAAGTAAAAAGTGTCTGTTGGAGTTAATTCCAGCTGTACTTCCTCTGTACCCCCAATTAGTCTTTGAAGTTCTGGTTTTATCCTGATGCTTCTTCAAGTTATTAGTACATAGAGAATTGTTTTATACTGCCTTTTTAACATAAAAATGGATATTTCGAATTACTGCAAATTCTGACAGAAAATGTAAAATAAGTTTAAGTTTTGTAATAGCAAGTTGCATGCCCAATTCAAAATACAGACAAAGAAGCTTCTTCAGCTCAATGTACCCAAATTTAAAAACTTCATACTACAGTGTTTGTCTTTGTACTGCCTGTAGTAGTGGCCAACATCTTGAACGTTTTCCTTTTCTTAACTATGTGTTAAAGAGCAATTTTAGTGTAAATGCTGTTAGAATACTACAGCTGTACATGTGTTTGTTTTTTTTTCTGTGCGAAATTGTTCTTTGACATCTAATCTTTAAACTTTCAAATCATCCCTAGAATAAGCTTTACAATTTGAGGGTTTCTCTAGAGGAATCTTTCTGTTGTGGTACACTTTCTACAGAACATTTATGGAACACCTCACCCCACTTGCAGTCAACATCAGTAGCAGAACTGTCCATATCAGCACAAGGAGCTTCATGTATAGATCAGAACAGTTTGACCTTAATATATAAATATTTACTATATTAAGATAAATGTGCAGAGACCAGTTTTTTTTCCCTCAAAAATATTTTCAAATACAGTTTCAAATATATTTGTATTTTTTTGTACACAAAAATGTTTTTGAGAGTCCAGTTCTGTTGGCGTTGGTCTGCATTTCACTGATGGTGTTAATTTTAAGTTCCACTTCTGAGTATCACCAGTTCCTCTTTGATATTAGCACGCCAACATCTGGAAATGGAATGGAACTGCTCTGTTTGTGCTTGCCAGGTGGTACCACATTTTGAGAGAACTGAGCAGTGAAGTCTAATAGTGCTTTAGCCCGTGCTGTCCCGCAAACCTCAGTTAAGATCCCTTTATGACTCCTATAAACAGGCACCACGCTCTTGCTGCAGAATTCCCTGCCTGTTCCAGGCAAAAAGATCTTTGCTATTTCCTGTGGTGTTGTGCTGGAATCACTCTGTGGTGCAGGGACTGAGCAGTCTCATCGCTCAGTTTATCTGTTCTCTTACACCAGTGTTCTAAGCACTTTGAGGAAAAGCTCCCTTTTTCTGGCTGTCCACAAGTACCTGTAGCTGTAGTGTTCTGGTTTGTGATTAAAACTCGTAGAAGTTTTGTAAGTGCAGACATCAACACTGAAAGTTTTGTCATCATCTGAGTAATAAATGCCCTGAATGAGAAATGACAGCTCAGTTAACGTGAAGCTTGGGGTGCTTCTTAGGGAACATGGATTGATACTTCTGTCTTGTACTTCATAGGTAAGTGTGTACATGATGGAATAGTATTCCAAAGCATAACCTTAATTTTTATAGGAAAATTCCCAAACCTAGGTTTTATCAGACTGCAGCATATAACGCTGTCTTTACTGATTTTTGTTTGGGAAAAAATAAGCCACACTATGCAAATTATTTTTATTTTTTTTTTACTGCAGATATTCCTGAAAAACTTACTTTTGGTAATTACAAAATTTTGGAGGGAGGCTCTCTAGAGCTGCAGTAGTTCCAAGAGTTAGATCAGTTGTGTAACATTTTAAGAGTTACCTAGAAGAGTGAAACTAAAGGCATAATACCTAGAGGGGATATGTTGAAGCCTAAAGAGCTTGCAGATATTTCTAGGATTATTGACCTAATGCACTCCATTTTGAAGGAACATGCTATTTTCTAAATCTTGACGTTTGAAGAGGAAGTACTTAGTATATAAAGCTTCGATATAAGTGGAGAGTAATTGTGAAGTAGAGGAGAAGACAGATTGCACATGCAAGCTTCTAAATGTGTCAGAAGTATTAGGCTATGGCAGAATTGTCTAGGATGATGGTCGTGCTTATCTAAGTTGGAGACATGCAGAAATTAAAGTTAGTAAACCTCTAGATCAAGAATTACCTGTACGCCTGAAGAGCTGAGTGCTTCCTTTTGCACGTGTTCATGGTTGAGGACAGCTGCTGGTGGGGATATATTCAAGTAAAATGTGTTTTAGAGACCTTGCTCTTGAGAAACCGTTCTGCATTATTAAGGAGATTTTCTCTCCTGATGTGGAGGATCAGAAAAATGTATATGTGCTCTTGTGGGATCTGAAAATTTAGGAAACCAGCCTCCCGTAGTTCGCTGCTAGCAGACCAACAACCTGAAAATACAGCACACTCTGAAAATAGTGTGTTGCAAGAGTGAAATTCTTATATTTGTATGAGGTATTTCTGTTCTGTCATGAATGAAAGTCATAGAATCATAGAATCATAGAATGGTTAGGGCTGGAAGAATGCCTCAAAGGTCATCTAGTCCAACCCCCATGCAAGGAACAGGGACATCTCCAACTAGATCAGGTTGCTCAGGGCCTCAAGTCGTTTTCATGCTGGCAGCGAAGCAAGTCACAGTCATAGCTGTGGTGTGCACATGATATGTAAGCGTTTCTTGATGTTATAAGGTATGTTTCCGTTGTTTCCTCTTCGAAGTTTGAACTCAGTCCGCTCCAATCTGTAGGTAATGGAAGCTCCTGGTGCATCGAAGTGCATTGGTCCTGGCTGTTTCAATTTGGCTCAGCCTGATTCGGTGTATTGCAGCAATGACTGTATTCTCAAACATGCTGCAGCCACTATGAAGTTTTTAAGTGCTGGTAAAGATGCAAAACCAAAACCTAAAGAGAAGATCAAACCAAAATCTGAAAAACCTGGCGTGCCAAAAGTTCAACTACAGGTAAGCTTGTGTTCATGATCCAAAACAGTTGTCCTGAAGCACAGTGCCTTATTTCTGTGCTCTTCTGCTTGAGACAAACAAAATCGCCAAGTCCTTCATTGAAGAGGAGCTTTCTATTATTTTTTTTTTTCATTCTTTTGTCTTTTTTCTGTGGTAAAAGCATTGTTTAATTCTTCTGACAATAAAATGTTTTCCTGTCACTTTTTTTAAATCTCAATAATTGCCTCTAGATAGAGATAATTTCTTGCAAGGGCCTTCTAGATAGCAGTACATTTTTAAAAAAAAACAAAATTACTTTAATTTCAAGTTAGTTTGCCTTTAAAGAAAAAGTATAAGCAGCACATCTTTTTAAATTTAATTTCATTCCAAATTAATTTTACCTTTAGCTGAAAATTACTGGGTTTTGGGCAGTAATTTGGAATTACTGTGAATTGTGAACTGATGTGACTGCACTGTATGCCTGCTTTGGGAAGCAAGAAGATGGAATCAAAGCTTTCTCTTTTCCCTTTTGAAACCACCATAAAATGGGCAGTAGTTTTTCAAACAATCAAAAAAATCCTCACAACTTCATGATAAATACTATTGTTTTGAGGTGGTTTCTTTTAACATTCTCATTTTTTGAAGTTACAGTTTGCTTTACAGACTTGAATGTGCAATCACATCATTTCAAGTATATTTACAGGAGCTTACTGTGAAAGAAATTTGTGTACATGTGTGTAACTATATCTCTGCTTGTTTGTAAAATATATTTGTCGATTATTAGTAATTAAGCTTCTTTTAATCATACAGGCAGGTATTAAGCCTCTTTCAAGCCAAAAGAGACAGTTTCCTGAGAAAAGAGAAGTGAATATGAAGAAAACTGTTTTGACAACTGCCAAGACTGAGGCAAACGCTCAACCAGTTGCTAAAGAGCCAGCAGCAGAAAACAGCACGCCGTCCTGGGCAAGCGATCATAATTACAATGCTGTAAAGCCTGAAGGGACTGCTGCCATTTCATCTTCACTGTTGTTCAAATGTATGTATCGCATAGGGATATACCTGAGTAATCATTTCCGTTTGCTTTGAATGCCCGTCCATTCTAGGCTCGGCAAGTCGAGGGAGTTTAGGATTTGGGTTTTTTGTTTTATTCTTAATATGGCACCAAACTACTTTTATCCACCTTCAAAGATTCGCACAGAGATACACACAAATGGGAGGAGACACCTTTAGAAGTTTCATTTGTATCATGTGACAGTTAAGTGATTAAGAGCCTGTCAATCTACCCAGCTGATTTCTGGATGAAAATCACATGATTAAGCTTTAAATTTTTCCCATAAAGACAATAACTGTTTCTAATCCAGAAAAGGTAAGTATTGATGCATTTGTGTTAAGTTTTACACAAAGGTTGCACAGTGTGCGCTGTGAATCAGCAATTGACTGTACTAATTTGCGTTGTATTTTTGTAATTTAGATTTGGCACCTGTCTCTCAGGTCTTGCATTTTCAGTGCTAGTGCCGAGAACGAAATCTTCAGCGTGGTATCCAACGATACTTTACACTTCTGCAAACAGCTTTTAACTGTCAAGTGTATCCAAGTTCTCCTGCTGATTTTCTTCCTTACATGAAATAATTTAAGGACCACTCTTTACTTTTAAGTTTGGGGGGAGGCAGTACTCTTTTTGAGTTTTTTTCCCTTTCTATTTGTATGTTCATACTTCACAACATTATCCACACACACAAGAACATATCTTAAGTGGATATTAGGCAGAGATATCGCCTTGCATATTTTTGCAGGTTTTGAATAGCATCCTTGTAACTCATAAAGGTAAGTAAATACTGCTTTGTGGCCTGAACAAGTCTTTCTGCTAATGACATTTGTTGGTTGACTCCAGCTAAGTAGTTCTATAATGTAGTGGTGGAACTTCAGATGAAATCTTACATTTCACGTTTACAAAACACATGACTTGGTGTCTAATGTTCACTCATTTGAAGATTATGGATGCAGAAATTCATTTCTCACAGCCTTCTTAACCACACTTTAGCCAATCTTACATTTTATTTTTAGAAATAAACCTAGTTATTAAACACCTGATATGTAAAGTAACTGGTAAGTTTACCAAGTATCTTTAAGATGAGAATTTTTTAGACACTGAGGGAACACCACCTACCCTAAATCACTGTTTTTTATTATAGAACATAGACTTACTGTGTATATTTTAATTGTATTTATCCACATCAAATGTTTAAATGGTTATAATTTTTCCCTGCATAGTTTTGCTGCATATTTTGTTACTTGGACCCTGTGCCTTTTTTATGGTGAACTCTAAAGACCCATATTTTGATGAACTTACATTTTTTTTAAGCTGCTTCTGAAGGAACTGTAGCACTTTCTGTCAGAAACAGTAGTGTTTTAAACATAACGAAAATTAGGAGATGTAAATGAAACTATAAGGGCTTATTTTACATGTCAAATTTTAATGACTCTTTCTATCTCAATATAATTGCAAGTGTCCATATAACCATATCACTTAAAATGTCCTTACTGCTAGAGTTTTTTTTTTTCCTAGGAGACAGGAACACAGGTTTTGAGGCAGTGAGTTTGGATTTTTTTCTTTTAAGGGGGTTGCTCCTAAGATTTACCTTATTGGAGGCTACACAGATTTAACCATTTCTAGTAGGAAATAGGATTCCTGTAGCTAAATTGTTAAATTGGATAAAAAATATTTGTATATACCAGACTTCAGTGATGAATAGAAGACAGCTTAGTGTGATGAAGAACTCTTATATCAAATGCAAGGAAGAACTTCAGATTGCTATTACTGAGGTAAGTTGTACTAACATGTGGGGACTCTGTGCCGTTACTAAATTCCTAAGTACGTTTTTTGTGTATTTGTGCAAAAAAATTGTCCCGCTCTTTGATTGGATCGATTTGACCTGTAATCTTCCTGAGAAGTTTCCGTTGCATCATCTTTAAGCGTATTCCACAAGATTTTATTTATTTAACGAATCTTTATCTACTGTTCAAAACATAGAAGTTACAGCATTATGGAAATTTGTGAGAGTCATCTCACTTCTCTTCAGATACCTAAAAGTTAGAACTCTAAGTCTGAGCTAGTCCGTCAAGAAAAACACCTATGGACAAAATATACGATCTGGTTTAGACACTAATCTTAGAACAAAGTGACTCACTGTTCAGAAATGCTTATTTCTGAACATTGGTTATGAAAGACGTTTAAGATGACTAGTTCAGACATCTGGGTGTCTAATGTTCGGACTGAAGGTCGCCTAGAGGAGGAGGCTGAGGACGGGATTCTTCCATATCCGTATTTCAAAATGCCGCCTGCGTTCTTCCAGAGCATCAAGCTGTGGTCTGCAGATCCTTGTTTGTGACTTCAGAGCTCAAGGGCGTTTAGGAATTAAGTGAACTTAACGTGATTAACAGTGTTACTTTCTCTAATACTCTTTCCATCAGTCAGTTTATCATATTTCAGACATGGATTTACTTGATACGTTTACTCTCTACTTGCCAGATACAAGATTTGGTGGTTGTTACATATGACAGTAGTTTTATTAAGTAGTAGCAAGAAGAAAATCAGGCCACTCTTGGAGATGTACTGGGTGAGAGGGACAGATCGTATATTTGCATCTAAACTTAAAGCCACCAAGCCCCCTTTTCTCCTCCCAACCTGGTCTTCATTTAAAAAAAAAAAAAAAGGATATTCGTACTATGCAATTAGAATCATAGAATCACAGAATGGTTTGGGTTGGAAGGGAACTCAAAGATCATCCAGTTCCAACCCCCCTGCCATGGGCAGGGACACCCTCCACTACACCAGGTTGCCCAAAGCCTCATGCAACCTGGCCTTGAACACTTCCAGGGATGGGGCAGCCACAACTTCTGTGGGCAACCTGGTCCAGTGCCTCACCACCCTCTGAGTGAAAAATTTCTTCCTTTTATCCAATCTAAATCTCCCCTCTTTCAGTTTAAATCCATTGCCCCATGTCCTCTCACTACACACCCTTGTAAAAGGTCCCTCTCCAGCTTTCCTGTAGGCCCCCTTTAGGTACTGGAAGGCTGCAGTAAGATCACCCCGGAGCCTTCTCTTCTCCAGGCTGAACAGCCCCAACTCTCTCAGTCTGTCTCCATAGCAGAGGTGCTCCAGCCCTCAGATCATCTTCGTGGCCTCCTCTGGACCTGCTCCAACAGCTCCATGTCCTTCTTGTGTTGGGGACCCCAGAGCTGAATGCAGTATTCCAGGTGGGGTCTCCAGTTATATAGGGCAATGACTTCTTTTTCTCTGTTACCCATTAGTTCTTGTTTCTTCACTTCCTAATTTTTTCCTGTAGCTTTTTTTGGGAATGAGTTACGGCTGTACTCAGAAGTGACTTTAATCATGCCCCAGATGTTGGTGTACAATGACACTGTCTAACATGTTGATGTTCCCAGTGAAAATAATGCCGTTTATTTGAGTAGGAAATACCTTGAACTTGCTTCGATAAGTGAATATCAAGTACAAGTACTTTCAAAGTTGCAAGCAGTATTTAAACCACACATAGAAGAAATTAGGCATGTGTCACATTCCCTTTCAGAAATGTTGCTTTTAATTTCGTTAGGAAAATTGATATTAATTTAATATGCAGTGCTTTTATATTGAATTTCAAAAGTCATCCTAGCTTCCAAATTATTACAAGTATATGGATTGTTGAGATTTAGGAACATTGTTGTTCAGACATTCAAGTTGTGATGGAAATCCTCAATTTGTCATGTGAGCTAGTGTTAATATTTGGGTCATATCAGATGTAAAATTCTTAACAAAAGCAAAACAGACTCTTGTTTATCTAATAAGAGCATTTAGGTGTCTGGGGAAGCACCACCCAAAATGATTTCTGAAATGTTTTAGTTTTGTTAGCAGACTAACATACATCTTGAATAATACGAAGCATTCTTCTTAGTTATAGTGGAGCAGGACAAACTTTAAACAGTGTATATAATATAAACACGTTTTTCCAGAAGGAACCATGAAAGCAGTCTGCATCCACTGCTTGTTTTACTCTGTTGAGAGCCTTTATACTCTGGTTTTACACTAATTAATATCATGTACTGCATTTCTAACAATATTTGTCCGTTGCATTCACTGCTGCCCTGTGAAAAGGAGGTAATAGGACGCTTCAAACAGAAGTTTGCTGATGCAAAGGTTTATCAGCAATATCAGTGCATATGGCTGAAGCACCTTAACTCAGGCTTTCTGTTGATAGAACAATACTTGGAAGAGACTTTTTTCCTGTATTTTTGTTGTTAATTGTCAAATAGAAGTCAGCAGCAAATGTATCAGGGGTTCTAAAATAGAAAATTAATCTAAAAGGAGAGGAAGATGATAGATGTTTGCAGTATGGCAATTTGTAAACTACCCAGTCCTAAGTATGCCAAGTACTCATCAGTGCTGCAAGTCTTTGTGGAAGTTCAGCTGACTTACTAGACTTAAAAGAAATACATGAACCGATAATTTACTCAACTCGGGTGCTAAAGCTACTTAAACATTTTAGCTGCTTTCATCAGTAAATGCAGCTAAACACACAGGAGAGTGAAGAGGTTTTATTAGATATAAAAATAAACATAAAATGTATTTTTTTTATTCTTGTGGTAGAACTTCCCAAGTAAAAAGTACTTTTGACCCATAAAGTCACTAAACTTCTGTTTACTCAACTGTAGAGAGAGCGATAGTATCAGTTTATAGCTATCTATTACAATATCTTATTTGGTACGAGAATTTCACAGAAATGGTTAATGAGTGGGACTTCAGCGGGTGGTACCTTTCCTGCTCTACAGCAGTGAAGTATGGAGACAACGCTGCCACCTCCTGGAAGTAGGAGGCCAGGTTTGGGGAGCCCTGACTGCTGATACAACTTTCCTTTTATTATTCCCTTTGTTTCCTTCATTTTTTTCTGCAGCCAAACTTTTCTACACTCAAGATGATTCATAAAGTGGATAGTGTTTGTGTAGTTTAAAGATCCCGGAAACAAAGGGCACTTGGACTGCTTTGTTCCTATGCACCTCTAACAAAACATGGAGACTTTGTAAAGGGAATATAGCGATACTGGGAGCTCATCATTAGAAAAAGTGATGCACATACCAAAATGCTAGGATTCTAGCAAACATTATGTATTTTTTCTTGTGTCATTTATTTCTTTCTGTAATAACAGTACAAAGGCAGGAAAGAAAGAAAATGTACCGCTGTAAAGAGAGCAACGGGAAAACGTAGCACACATAAGACAAGGGAGTTATTGCTCAGGAGGTAAAAGTGATGTAGAAAGCTGTAAGTAGTGTTATGAAAAGAAAAAAAGGAAAGCTGTGTCTGCACACAGACTGATGCCAATGTAATGCAGGATTGTACCATCTTAAGCTGTGGCTCTTCAGTTGAGTGCACTGTATGTGGATATACTGCTGTTGGTTTAGCTTAACTATTACTAAATAATTTACTTAAAACGAGGAGCTGTTCTTAAGTCATAAGTATGTTTGTCTGTAAGGACTGATTGTAGTTAAACTTGGTGCCTTTATTTTGGTGTGAGTGCTTCCCCAGAGGAAAACTAGCCTGTGCCAGGTTCCATACTTTTGTAACTAAACTACTTCTTGCATCTGAATTAACTTCTTGAAAGCTAAGGTGTCTTTGCCTAATGCTATAGTCTGCAACATAGACCCACACTAAGAGGCAGTAAGTATTGGGTAGTATCAAGGGAATAAAAAGAATTATTTATTTTATGTTACTGGCAGTTTTCTGGGACACGTGGCTGCTCTATGTGTAGGTTTAGCCTTAACCTTTGTAACTGGAGGAGTTTTCAGAAAGGCTGCCGGTGGACCATAATGATCAGAATACCTAAGACAAGTCTGCCAGAACTCCCGAGAAGTTCACGTTGGAGATCTGGCTTTGGAAAGATTCTAGTGCTCCAAAAGATTGAGCTCCGGTGCGGTACTTGCATCGTGAGAGCGGCAGGGGCTGTGCTGGCACAGGGGCTGGCACATGACTCAACCCTGGCTGTGGAGTGAGGCAGACCAGTAGTGGCTGCTGAAGCCAACATCCCCTGGGACCCAGCTGATTGTAAGGAGCAGTGGGATCCTTGGGGAGTGATTATCATCTCCTGCCTGTGAACTACTGGAGCTCCCCTTCTCTGCTCTACCAGGTATGTTACCCCTGTCCTGTGGCTGTCAGCCACATGAAGATTTTTGCCGTATCTCTTGAGTTAGGAAGGCTGGTCCCTGCTGATGGCATGTTCCCTATTTTGCCTTTCAAGCACCCGGCACCCTCAAGGTGCTTGGACAACAGAAAATCACCACTCCTGTCATAATGGGTGCTTGGCTTCAGTGTAAGGAACCACTGCTGAGAGGAAGGGTTGGGGGGCAGAAACTCGGTACAATTTATGGATGCACTATGAATATTAGGGTGGTTTATCTCTTGTCATCAACACTGAAAGTGATGAAAGTGCGATTAAAAAAACCTCCCCACCCTCTATTGCTGTTTTGCTTTCTTTTACTAATACTACTTCAGTTCTTTGGACTTGCTCACTTGACTGCATAGCCCGTGAAAAAGGTCTTCCTCTGCTGGTCCCCAAATGAAGGGGCTCTTCGGAGGTGATCTCTTGCACTTTGGACTCAAGTTTTGCTGCTGGTCTTGGTGTGCTGATGGTTCGCTGTGTCTGATCTGTACTGGACTTGGAACCTGAAGATGGCCTGGCCCTGCACGGAGTGACCATACCCATCCGTAAGCGGTCTGGAAAATGAGCCCTTTTTTTGCAGCAGATAGTGCGTCTCTCACTCAGGAGTGGTGTAGTTGTGAAGATACAGTCGCACCATGTAGATCAGAGAAATCACTGTAATTTCATGTAGATTAAAACAAACAGACTTTGCCTGTCTGAGCTACAGGTTTGCATGAGTTCGGCTGTAGTGTTGGCTTGGATGCAAACGAAGCCCACCACAGAAAAGGCCCTCCTCTCAGCTTCCTAAATTAATTGACTTTAAAGCCAGGTTTAGTTCCTTTGTGTGCCTGAATGTAGAGGCTTGGCACACGGGCAGCCTAATTAGGAGCTTCATTGTGGTGCAGATTAAACCGCTGGAGGCTTTTGAAGCACACCAGCGGGGCGGCGGGCACACCTGCCCACCACTGGTGTCGGGTAATCAAGTGCCAGGTGGTCTGGCACGCAGACACGTTGTCCCGTCGGCCATTAACTGAAAACTAACACCGAAACCCGCCTGCGAG